ACAGCCCTGATAGGACATAGCCTTCACTTGCCAGCTCTTCCCACACTGCTCCCACGTGTGTCTCCTGTTTCTAGGCTGAAGGCCAAGCGTGGTATCTCCCACAGATGTTGCAGTTGCTCACAAAGGTCCCCCTTCATTTTATTCTGTGTTTCCTTCTTGAGTGGTGACCAGGCATATGTCTGTACCTCTTGTGAGAGGAGCAGTATTAGTCTGTCTCCTCTGCCTTCTGTTTTCCTGACTGCAGTCACTAATGCTCCTTGATGCCTGTCATGGAGCTGGTCTTGCTTGCACATTGGATGCCTACTTCCTTGATGCTGTGCCAGTTCAATCTTTGAAAATACTGTCTGGCAAGTCCTGGAGAGATCTTTGCCTCCAAAAGCTTCCACAGTTCCTTTCTGGTTTTCCCCATCACCAAGTGAAAAATAAAAACACTTGGCTCGGTAACAAATGCTGTCTTCAGATGCTGGCGACAAAATTCCTGCTGACAAGCTTGGTATGGTAAGGTAGGAGTAGGTGAGGACAGGTGTGATGGTGGTGTTATGCTGTTAGGTGCTCCTGTGAATCACACAGCCAGACAGAAGAAGGCTGGAGACCTTTCCTGGTCTCGAGTAGTTTGTACCTTTGGTGTGATGTTGCGATCACACGCTGTAGCGAATGTTTGAAATGAGTAGATCTGTACTCTTCCAGAATACAGTGCTCAGGTGTAGCAGGTTGGAGGGTATCACGTGGCAAACTCTTGGAAGAACGCAGAAAATTAGTAGCCAAGAAAACTTTGTGGTGAGAAACCATCAGGTACATGGGAAGAAGCGTGATCTCTCCCTGCGTGCACCGGTGAGATGCAGTAAGGTGCTGGAAGATGTGTAATTGCTAACTTTGCCACTTTGCAAAGCATAAGCCTCTTTCTTTTCACTGAGAAACAGGAATGCAGACAAAGTGAACCAAATCAGAGGTTCAGGAGAGCAATTTTGTAGTCATTGTTGATGCTCTAGGCAAATAATAAAGGATATGCAGTGGAAGTCCAGTGTATTTACTTCTTCTGGTTAAGATACAGTGCCATGGAAGGTCTAAATCCTTTTTATCATCTATTTTTAAGGTGAATAAAGATATGACAATACTTGTGCCTTTACTGTGCTGAAAAGTTATGTGATAAATCACAGTCTCCATTTACAGACAATTAATTAAATCCCTTTGGTGGGAGAATATTCCACAGAATTCTCAGAGAAGTCTGTGTGTGCTGGTTCTCTTCCACAAGGTGGTGAAGGGATATCTGGGCTCTGCCACCTTCCCTTTGCTTGTGCTCAAGTCCCAGCTGGCTGCGTGGGGACATGTATAGGGCTCGGTGCCAGGCAGCTGTGTGCTGTCCCCACCTTTTTGGGGAGAGCAAGTCCTTCCCTGACATGCAGAGAAAGTGTGTCATCCTGCAGGCAGGTCAGCAGGTCGCTGTGCTGGATAGATGGGTGCTGGCAGCTGGGCTGTGGGATAGCATGTACATGGTCCTGCTGAGCTGGGGCATTGGGATTGCCTTTCCTTCCCATTGTCAGGCTGCTGTGCATGCAGGAGACCCTCTCATTCTCTTTGTCCTCATTATTAGTGTAAGGATGGGGTTTGCACATCCCAGGGCTGGTGGTGCTGGTGTTCAGGTGTCCTTTGGGGAAGGAGAGGGGCAGCAGTTTTGTCTGCAGTGAAGGTCTCTGTGTGATGGTGACAGCAGGTTGTCACCCACAGCAAAGTAAAGGGCAGCACCTTTGCCATCCCTACCCTGGAGTGGGGACTCTCTGGGAACAGCTCACTTTCTCCATCACATGAAGGAAAAGCATAAAGCACAGCCTCAAGTGCTGCCCCTACTATTTGTTTCTTTTTTTTAATTCCTTTGGCATAAGGGGCAAATAAAGTCAGGAGTCTAGCTTCCAGCTGAAGTCAGGGTAGTTTAGGAATTAAACCCAGCCTTTTAATGTATTTTCTGCATGTCTCAGTCCCCATCTGTGATGGGAGTAATGGTACTCTCTTGTTCAGAAGGCAGATGCATACTCAGGCGTCTCTAGCCCTTGTACTTTTCAGATATAATAGCAGCAGGTATTAGGGCTTGTCAGAATTGCTCCAGAAATTTTTATCTATATTTGGAATAAATGGGTCCTTTCTCAAAATGAAGCTTTCTGAGGGAAACGTCAGCTTGCAACTCATTTCTTGTAAGGAAAAATAAACTTGGGTTTTTTCCTATTATTCTATTTGTGACGGTAAAAACATTTGTTAAGAACAGAAGTGTTTTTATGAGGTGCAGTCAGTGGTGAGGCTGGTCCACATGCTGCTGGGTGATTGCCACATGTCCATGTTTATCTGGGCCTCTGCCCCATCCAAGGTTTTTTCCTTTTTTTTCTTGAAGGAATACGCTTCTTTGGCTTGGTATTTTTGAAAACATAATAACAATTAAAAATAATGTTTTCAAAAATACCAAGCCTGACCATGTGGGCACAGGAGTGTAGAATCCAGTTGTCTGCCAGCTATTTGTTGCTGTTTTCAAATGATCTGGCCAAAAATGTAAGCCTTGAACAGGAAGACTGTCTGGTTGTGTAGGCTCTAAGTTTTAAAAGTTTCTTTTACAAATAGTTTGAAGTACCATGATAAGAGGGCCTGCCGTGCTGCCAAGGGTTTCATTGTGGTGGCACCTGAGCAAGCCTGGGAGATGGTGTTCTCTGCCTTCAAATTGTGGCCATTTAAAACCAAAATGGTTAAAGGAACATTGTGCTTTATTATAAAAGGTTACAATAAACCCCTTAAACTTGGCACAGCAAACATGTGCCACCTCTGCCCTAGGAGATTTCAGCTTAAAGGTGGGCTGCAGGAGACCCTGCCAAAGCTGGGCTCCTGCCTTGGGGCACAGCACTGCTCTGCTCCTGGGTGCTGTCAGTGTGCTTTCCTTGGCTGATCACCTTACGACACATGAGATTGCATTAAGCCACTGTTCTGCTGGTGCTGCCTGGGGAGGATGGCCATTCCCTGGGGAGTGAGGGGATGGCATTTTTTATGTTCTGGTTTGAAAAATGTTATCCATTGTTTGAAGCCCAGGATTTGTGGTTCTCTGATACTGCATGATCGATTGTCCTTCTTTGATCAAGAAGCTGGGGTGCATTTGAATGAGAAAATGAAAGTGCCCCCCTCTTGCTCAGGGTGTCTCTGCCCAGGCTCAGTGAAATGCAGACAGCAAACAGTGGGGAAAAAAGAAGAAATGAAAATAAAACTCGGTGAGGCTGTTTTGAAAATCTTCGCTTCCAGTAAACTGAGGGAGTGTGAGCAGTGTGAGGTCAGTAGTCTGTGCTTGAAAATACAGGATCCAATCCTGGTGTCAGTTACAGACATGTAAATCACAGGCAGCGCTGCTGGCAGCGACAGGAGCTGCTGAAAGGTTGCTGCAGCCTGGGACCCGCAGGCTTTCTGGCACAGACATGCTGATTCCTCTCGTTCCTTAGCCACCCATTATTTTTCTAGCTTTCCTTGGGCATTTAAAATGACAGCAGTGCGGAGTGACTGGTCCTGCTTTTGAGTTGGTTCCTGACCATCGTGGCACAGTGGCCCCAGCTCAGCGTGGCTCCTGGCTGCCAGGATGCCGTAGGTAGGGCTGTCTCACAGCTTCCTTAGCTCCTGTTTAGATCTGTTCTGCTCTGAATGATCTTTTAATGTCCTATAATACGGCAATCTCTGGGGGAGCTGGATGCCATCCTTTCCGTGGAAGTTGGATCCCATCCCTTCTGTGCTGCTGTGCTGAAGCATTCTCTTTTCCCCTCTGTTCTCCTAACTCATTTTCCCCCTCTTCTTTTAGTCATGTTTAATGAACACCAGGACAAACCTGAAAATCAAGTGGGACAGCAAAGACAAAAATATATGTCCTGGTCCCAAAGCCTGCTGTGCACTGCTGGAGGACCTTGGGGCTCCCGTGGGGCAATGCTTTTAGCACCAGGCTCTGCACCTTGCAGCATGTAGGGGCTGCCAGGGAGTTTGCTCTGTTATGTGAGCTCATTTTCCCCATCCAAGCTGATGGTCTGTACTGTGATCAGCATCAGCTTTCCTCCAGGATGAGGGCTGGACCAGCAGCTCGGAAGTGATAAGCCCCATTCTTTATATTTTGACACATAGGGTTGTGGTGGGATTGGAAGCAGCTCTGTCCTGAGTGCTGTCTAAGAGGGGTGTGTGCTTCCTTGCAGACTGAAACCATTCACAGAAACACTGCTTTTCACCAGCACAGGATCTGACACCCCAAAAGGCAGCAGCCAGGCTGTTAGTGTAGGGGACTCCCTGAGCAGGTGCCGTGCTGGCAGCTGAGCAGGGGAAACACGTCCCCAGCTTTTGTTGTTTCGTGTGATCCTTTTATTAGATAACTTCAGCAGTGTACTGTTGAATTGAGCAGTTTAATTTTAATCCATGAAACCTGAGAAGCACAGATGGAAACACAGAAAACTGTTAGGGCCAGATCCTGCATGTGTCCCAGCACAGAAAGATGAGTACCTGTCTGTGTATGGCTGTGCTCAGGTGTAAAGCTACCAATGCATATAAGCTGAATTTTAAGTCAGAGGTGGACTCCAGATTGAGGTTTGTGTGAAAAGGGTCTGATTTTTCCAATGTGTGAGAATGTGGAGACCTCAGACAGCTCCCACAGTGCTGGCAGTGGCCAGAGTGTCTGAGGGTCAGGGCCCTGGCAGTGGAGGAGATAACGTGAGATTTCTGAGTTTGGGAACTTTGGCCAGCAAATAACACATATATTGGCACAGAGTGGGAAAGACATAAAAAGACATATGTCAGAACAGGGCAGGCTTTTAAGTGGTTTTCATTTAAAATGAAAAGGTCAGATTGAATGAGGTTGGCATCTGGGGAACTGTTCGTGCACCTGCCAATCAAAGGGGGGGGACCCATGTCAGTTTGTGCTGATGGGTGACTGGCTGAGAGATTGTCTGTGTTTAAAAATTGGTGACTGGAACAGTTAAAATGACAATTTTCCTTGTGGCTGTCAGGTTGAGCCATCTGCTTCATGAAGGAATGGAACAAAGGATCCCAGCATGAGGTCGCTTTATCCCACTTCAACTGGTGCTTGCACTTGGGCTTCAACAAGTACAGCTATGCTGATTTAAAAAAGTAATACTAGTAATAAATAGACTCTAAATATTGGTAACACTTTCAAGTGTAAAGGAGATTAAAAGTGAATGCAGCTTTTGAATAGTTAGAAAAACAGATGCCATTCGAACCAGTTCTGGGAGAAGTGTAATTAGCTGAAGTCATTTTCACAGGTAAGATTTTGCATTTAAAGGGACTGTGGTTTCTGGTTACTTCCATTTCTATGTGGTCACTGTGGAGTTACATTAGGGATGCCTGTTTGTCTGAAAGTGTTGACTGCTGCTCTTTGAAACTTGGAATTCCTGCAGAGTTTTTTCCACTGTCTGTTCCTGAAAAATCTGAACAATCTAAGAAAACTCAAGCGATAACACAGGCCTGATGCTTAAATTCAGGCTTTGTAAACTACTGCCTTTTGAATTTATATCTGCAAACAGAAAAAGTTGCTTTCTGTACTTGTGTGTTAAATTCATGTTTATTTTTTTCTTGAGAAACATCAATTCTTACTGTCAGTGATACAGCATCAATATTGTCAGCCAGTGAGTGAATGAACTGCTTCTGATAATTTTGTCTTTAATGGAGTATTTTGATAGAGTGGCTGCAGTGGATATTGCTGTGACAGTCAGACTGTCCCTGTGTGTTCACCTGTGGATGTGCTGCCAAGAGGGAGTGTCAGGAGTGCCTGCCTGGGCACTGGTGGGGTGCTGGGCCACCCTTGTTGCTGACAGGGTGGTTTCACAGCAAGTTTTCAGCTGGATGCCTCAAGGAGGGAATGTGATGTCCTGCTCACCTTGCTGCAGGAGCCCCAGTCACAGCTGACAGGGATAGCAGTGTGAAGCAAAGCAAGGAAGATGCAGTTCAACTGGCCAAATCCTATCACTGATCCTGTAAACATTTTGTGACTTAAACCTGGTGAGGGACAATCCTGAGGCAAGATTTTTTAAACACAGGTTGAGTCCCAAGAAGTATTGTCTTACCTGGAGCTCCTGGAGGTGCTGTTTTGAGTTGAACTGAAATAGTGTTGGAATCAGAGGGGAGTGTTGTTGTCTTCTTCCTTTGCAGATAAGACTGAAGGGCATTTTGCCAGGAGCCTGTGGGAAGGACCTAAATTGTATGTAACTCTACATTATTTTAAAATGAAAAGTAAACATGCACAACCATAATATTTGCTTGTACTTGTCTCCTCGTTGATGGATGGAGAGAAATTGCTCTTTGGCTGAGTTCATCAGCAATAAACCTCTGCAGTTACTCATCTTCATCCCTGCAGTGAGTGGGAGAGGCCATTGCAATTTCCAGTTGGTTTTGTCCTCATAACAGCTGAGGGGAGCTCTGGGGGTCCTGGGGACTTTGAGGACCACTTCCCTGTGGGGGATCAGGGCTGGGTACCAGCACAGGGACCATGGGACTGAGCTGGGTCAGAATGAAGCTCAGTGTGCTCTGGTTGTGTTGGCACAATGGATACGTGCCACTGCTTGGGGAGAGGAAAAATCTCCGTCGCTGTCCTGGCTGTCGTAGCCTCACACATTGCATGGGGGACAAGGAGCAGGAAGGCATCTCAGGGATGGGAAGAGTGGACTTGGACCATGAGCCACCAACACATTTTACTCTTTGTTTGTGGTATTTTTGTGGGCTCACATGCACCATCATGAACAGCACAGGTGCAACAAACAAGTCTGAACTGAGCTTTTCCACAGTGACAGCAGCAAATAGCAGAAGCTTTCTCTGCTGAGCTGTGATGACAAGCCAGTGCTTGTCATGGGCAGAGATAGGGCTTTAGAGTGACCAGGATGTGGCTAGAACAGGATGCTGGCCAGGGGCTGATGGGGAGAGGAAGGAGTGTGTGCTTCAGATGCTTCTGGTCTCCATAGGATGCACCCTGACACGTGTCCTGGTGTGTCCCATGGCACGTAAAAAATGGTGGCCATGTGGCCTGGTGACCACACTGCTAACTTCATCATCTGCAGAAGGGGGAAACACAACACTGAGCAAGTCTCATCAAGAAAAGGTGGTGTCTGCTTCTCAGCTTCAGGAAAGGGTGAGGTAGTCCCCACTGGGAACTGTACAGTGCTCCAGAGAGAAAAGGCTGTGCTCAGGGGGAGGGCTGGTGGTGTAGCTCTGCTTACAGTAATCATAACCCCATGAGCTTTAAAATTCTTTAAATGCTGCCTTCTAGCTCCCTCACTGTGCCCAAGGCCAGAGATGAGTGATGGTTCACCCTGTTCTCTTATTTTATGCCTCATGTGCCATGTCCTTATCCCTCTCCCTTCTGAATGGCATTAAGAGCAGTAAAGAAGTGGTGACTCAAGGAGGTGAGTTGATGGCCAGACTCTGGCAGCTGATATTTCTGGTCATTGCTGGTCACTGTTCAGTGACCAGTTCAGGGTGGTGGGTCTTGCTTTTGGAGGTGCTGAAACAAGTCCAGGGGTGTGGATGCTTCTGCTTAAGAAAGCTGTGGAGGAAAATGCTGCATTTCCCAGAAATTGTGTGGGTTAAACTGCTGGCTTTGGAGACAAGCTGTTGGGAAGCCCATCCAGTGTGCATCACTCAAGTCTCTCTCTTTTCAGGTCTGGGAAAGAAACTCGAAGTCGTGAGTCTGGTGGAGCCCTGAGCGTTTCCAAACGCCCTGCTCTGAGTTCATCCCACCAGTCGGTCTGTGCAGCGTGAGAACTGGTACGTAAACACAATTCACAGGCACATGGGACAAGAAGGATGTCAGGCTTTTCTGACAGTGGCACCTTGTTCATGGCTCTCAAAGTTTGGAGGGAGAGTGGGATCACTGGAAGATACAAGGCAAGCTGATGGTTCCCTGGTGGTGCTTACAGCCAGAGGCTTTGGTGGAGAAGGGTACAGCAGTGAGAGCTGTGAGTGTCCAGGAGTCATCCCAGGCTATGGTGCTGAGGCTTTAGACACGCTCTGTGGAGCGATGTGTGGTGTCACAGCACGCACGGAGGGGCGACGTGGGGGTAATGACAAATGCATACACACACACACAGACACAGGCTGTGCAAGTGTAGGCACATGGAAACAAAGATGGCAATGCATATATAGTATATACTATACAGTGGCATATGAGAGCTTGGGGGTGTATATACCAAATGTCTGTATATACTATATATGGCGATTAAAGAATGCATATGCATTCATGTTCTCTTTTTTTTTTTCTTCCTGTCTCTTCTGTCTTTCTGTGGAGCTGTTGCAAAACTACCAGATTCAACCTCCTGGGGAGCCTTTCTGGCCAAGGTTTTACAAGCCAGCACCTGCTTTGCCTGCCTGACTTCTTTCTATATTTATTCCTCTGCACCCGTTTTTTTGCCTTTGCCTGTGGAACTGTCACAAACATTTGTGCTGACTTTTGACTGCACAGGACTTCAGCTTGCAAGTCCTAAATCTGCCTTTGTGCATGGTGGAGGAGCAGGCGTTTGTATGCGTGGTTATGCATGTGTATGTCTGAGTATCCCTGGTCCTTCTGTCTGTATTATGTGGCCTATGTCCCTGTGACTCTGTAGCAGTCCCTCTGTTCTCTGCCCCTTCAAGATGTTTCTATGAATCAAATATACTCAGTCATCCTGCTTAAGTAATTTTTCATTTAAATTAGCCACCCCTGACCCAGTTACTGCTTTATAGTGATTTGTACTGCTGTGCAGGAGGCTTGAGTTGGATTTTATTCCCCGACTCCCAAGGTTTCACTTCCCAACCTTAGTACTGTGGCAAGGAGGGGGATTTGTGTTGCCATGTAGCAGGGAGCTCTTGTTTAGGCTATAGTTGGACATGGACATGTCCATCCCTCTGGTTTCTCTCCTCTGTTTTGTTTGGGGTGGAAGGTGTTCTGAAGCACAGGTGCTGAACACAGGTGCTGAGGTGCCTCTGTTCAAAGTGAGCACAATTGCAAGGGAGAGGGTATAAAGCCATTTCAGCTGGGAAGAGGAGGGGAGATCCTAGTGCTGTCCTGGGGAAAGCCAAGCTGGAGGAATAGCCATTTTGTGGGTCTCCCATCAGCAAGTGCAGCCTGGAAGAGACATGTGCTCGTTCATGATTCGATGGGCACAACTTGCACACACTGAAAAGCAGCACTGGGCTGCCTGCCAGGAGCTAGGAAATGGCTTGTCCTCATCTGCTCAGGCCCCTGCACTCCCACCCCTTCTTAACAGCTCTCTTTGCTGCTGAAATGGGAGTCCCTGTAAGGTCACAAAAGCGTTAGTCTCAGGTTTCAACCCCAAGAGCCATAAAACGTACCCTGGCTGATCCCTGTTCAAAGGCAAAGGCAGTGTGAGCAACCCTTGCTCCCCTGGTTTCGTGTCCCTGTCCCTACCATGTGTGCCACTGCAGCCTGCATTCCTCTCCCATTCTGTAAGCCCTCTGCCTCTCGTGCTGGTACAGCTAATATTTCCCTGATGGCAGGGCAGGCAAGGTGGTGGCATTTAACTCTTATGGAGAACTCCGATCTGTTCATCTCTGCTGGGGCACCAGAACTGGAAGGGCTGGTGTGTGCCTGTGATGGGGTTTTTGCTCTTCCAGGTGTTCCCCTTCTGTGCTTTTGTTCCTATCCTTGACTTAGACAATTCTCTGCTTCATTCCACTATTTTTCCTTGTGAAAAGCAATACCTTGGGAATTGTTTTCTGCAAAGACCTGGAAAACTAGAGTCAGAGTTGGTAGAATCTGCACCAAGCTGACACTTTTTACACTGGTTTTAAGAGTATCTCCTGTTTCTGACCATGGAGAATTCTCTGGATGACCCTGCTGCTGGCTGGGGCACACAGCTCCTGTGGGAGGTTTTAGTGGGCTTTTGGAAAGATAATTAATCAGCTACCCATGGAGATCTAGTCCCAGCCTGCAATGCACTGAAGTTGGCCTGGTGTGCCACTTAGTGCCACTTGGGCTATTGGCTCTTTAAAGCTGCCTTTATGACCACCAGTGTAATGAATGTATGCTGGTGCTGCCTGGCAAGGTTGATTTTTTTGCAGTGGTAGTAAGTGATCACTGAGTTAAATGCAGGTGTATTATAAAAGGCAGAGAACTTTGTTACCTTTTAAAGCAATGGTTTAAATGTTTTCTGTTTTTTAAATGTTTTTAGCACCTGTGGGTGCTAAACTCTTGCTGCCACGGGCCCTGACCACTGTTCAGTTCCTGGAGGTCATTGCACAGCCTCTGTCACTGCAGGATTTTGGCTTCTCCCGAAGCCTCTGCTTCAGTACCAGTGAAAGCCAGATGTGCTGTAATGTCGTTTTTTTACAGTTTGTTTTGGCCATACATGGGCAGAGTCAGCTCTGGAATTCCTTCCCTATAAATTCAATAGCATCTTGTGGGTGGTGCTGGGGAATCACTCTGGTCTGGTTGGATCGCCTTGCCTCGGCAGCCTGTTTGCCTTAAAAATGTCCTGCTGTGCACATTCCTGAGAGGCTGCCTGCCCCTGGAGCGATGGCTGCAGCTACCAGGAGGCTGGTGTCCCATGCTGGCAGGCAGAGTCAGCTCCTGCTGCCTGCAGGTCAGCCTTTGTTGCTAAAGACTGATGCTTGTGGCAGTGCTGGCATGGGGATGTTGCTCTGGTGTGCATGCAGGCTCTGCAGGGATAGTTATGCCCTCTAAGAAAACTGCCTCTTAAACCTGGTTTGTGGGTTTGAGCATTGACACTCAAGTCCCTTGAGTCCCCACAGGGGTGGGGAGGCTGGGTGCTCCCCAATTCCCACCTGACATGGGATACAGTGCTGTGTGTCCAAGCAGGGATTGGTGGGTGCTGCCATCCTGGGGCAGCTTGTACCTGTGGGGTTCTCTTGTCTTGTCCTTCAGTTTGTGCCTTTTTGCAGAGCTGTCTTTTGTTTTTGTGTTGGTTTTTTTTTTCAAGTTCAAATACATGCTCTTTATAAAGCACTAGCTTGATGAGCCAGGTCAGGAGAGATTTCCCTGTGCCAGGTGAGCAGCCAGTGTGGGATGTGCTGTGACTGCTGGTTGAGCCTGCCTTTTCTGGGCCAAGCTGGTGTTGCTCTAATCACAGCCTGAATCTGTCTATTTGCCTTTAGAGAAGCCAAAAGGTAGTTCTAGGAGGTTTTTACAGGTGAGTTGAGGGGATGAGAGAGAGGTTTGTTGCAGGGGTTGAGCAGCAGCAACTCTTGGAGGTGCTCCCATTGAATCTTCCTGTGCATCCCTAGTAGGGGACAGAGATGCAGTGTCACCCATCATGCCAGGAGCCTCCAAAGCACAGTTGAAGGTGATTGTGTGGCCCCATGTCCAGGCTGTGTGTAGGTCAGCAAAGGCAATGTGCCCAGCTCATGCTTCAGAGGGGCAAGTCATCCCTGTGCCAAAGCCAGGGAGAGAGGGTGATTTTTTTTTTTTTGACATCCTTTGGAGTTTTGATCTCCATATTTGGAAATGTTTACCCTTTGCTCTGATCTATTGCAAGGGAGGGGAGGTGACTCAGGGTCTGGTGGAAGCAGGATTTGAATTCCTGTAGTAAGGGTTTTTTTTTTTACCCCCCCTTTCTTGTTTTGGAAGCTTGTTGTGGTCAGTTTTCAGTTCTCTCTTGCTCCTGGACCTTGTTCCAAATTTGATGTGCTCGAGAGGGAAGCATGTTAGCAAAGGAGCTTGCCTGAATGCTGGTAAGTGCATCATTGCTGTTATAGCAAGCAACTTGGGATTTTTTTTGTTGTTTTGTTTAGTCAGATGGATTGCATCAAAGCTGGTGGAGGCAGGCATGTGGATCAACAGCAAGGGACCCAATGAAACCTTCTGTAGCAGGGAAAGTTGGCTTAGTGGATTGGTCTCAAAGGCAAAATGTTTCTTCAGGAGTAGTTATAAAGATAATTTAAGCCAGCTCCCCTTCAGTCACGCTTTTCCTTTTAGTTTCACTAGTTAGTGCAGCAAGGCAGCAGAGCACTGTGGAGTTAAAGGAGGATATATTCATGTGGTCAGCAAGGAAAACATAGCTTATGTATGATTTCTGTCTCTTAAGCAAGAGTGTGTGTTAAAAGGCTGCATAGCACATGGGTATATTTCTCTCAAATGCTAATATTTAACTCTGTTCTATTTCTCTCAAATGCTAATATTTAACTCTGTTCTCTTAGTTGAAGTTTAGCTAGTGTAACTGGATGAAGTTTAAGTGTCTGTTTTTTCCCTGTTGCTCTGTTTTTTCCTTAGTGTTAAGTTTTTAATCTGTCTGATACTGTAGCTGGCTGCTTCTTTTTTTTTTGTTTTGTTTTTATCTTTTTTTTTTTCCTGAAAGGAAGCTGCAGTTCATCCAGTCTGGGGTGTGGGGGGAACCTGGAAGATGCTCCACTTCCTGTTTTATTCATGGCAGCTAAAACCAGGCTGGGGAATCTGGAGCAGAGATCCACCATCCTGCATTCCTCTTGTCATTTGGAGCATTTAACGTGTACAGAGTGCTTTTAACACTGCTCTGGGGGTCATGAAGCAGCCAGTCCTGCACCTCAAATGGAAAGCACTGCACTTCATCTTTTTACTTTGGAAGGGGCATTGGTGGAAACCCTTTTATAGTTCCCAATGCTGGTTAGTAATCCTTGTATTTTCTCAGCTAACTTGTATTTTTAGGCTTCTTCAGACCTGTTGCTTCATACTCTCTATCTTAAATCGAAGACCTTTGTTAGAAAGTTAAACCTCTTTGTTGATTTTCATTTGCCCTTTTAAATAGGGCTTAATATTCATTGGTTTTTCCAGAGAT